GCTTTAAATGCAAAATGAGGTTTGATGTGTTCATTTTACAGATTTGTGTGCATTTACATACGTTTTTATTAATCATGGGTTGAATGACTGAAAAACTGATACTGTATGTTGTCTGTTCGGCATGAATTACTGTTTTGCTTGTTTGTATGTGAATTGATGATGCTGACTGAGGAAAAGGAAAATGAAAGATTGTGTAGACTGATAATCGTATTATGGGGGTCAGCCTGACTAGATATCCTGGGAGATGGTGGACGGACCAGGTCCGTAGGGAACCCTACCGGGATTGTGGTCTCACATGCCGGACGGGGTATGGAGATCTTATGGTTTTGGCGCCCATACCGGACGGGGTATGGGGACGGCCCGTTTCACCCTCATACCGGACGGGGTATTGAGGTTCATGGTTTTGGCGCCCATACCGGACGGGGTATGGGGACGGCCCGTTTCACCCTCATACCGGACGGGGTATTGAGGTTCATGGTTTTGGCGCCCATACCGGACGGGGTATGGGGACGGCCCGTTTCACCCTCATACCGGACGGGGTATTGAGGTTCATGGTTTTGGCGCCCATACCGGACGGGGTATAGGGACGGCCCTGGAAACTGATTATGAATGTTAAAGGTTAACGGGTAGCGGAACCCCTATGGACCCCCACGGATACTAGTAGGCTGGTAAATGAGAAAAAGATATGTTGTACAATGATTGAATTACAAGAGGCGTGATAAGTGTTATGTTTTACAGCTTATATTATTCAATGATTATGATAATGTTATTGTTTTTCTTATATTGTTTTCATAAATTCCACCAAGGTAAGTGGATGGTAAAGGTTTTCATGTTAATAAACGAGTTTGTTGTAAATTATGCTCCATTGGTCTTTTTTTATTTTTCTACCCACCTTTACCTCCGTGACGGTGAGATATCGTGATGTTCTTATTGGGCTAGTGTAGCTCACTCCTTATTTAACCATTTCAGATCAGGAAGACATGGTTCCCGAGCCCGTTCCGCAGGAGGACGACGAAGGGGATGCCTAGAGACTCTGTAGTCATACTCATAGTTTTATTTTCGAGTTTCTCTCTTAGTTAGTTTAATCTTTTATATTTTAAGTACGTTTTTGGTTTTTCGTGTAAGGGATGTTAACTGAAATTTTGATCTCGCTTCCGCATTCGATATATTTAAATACTCATTTATTTTTAATATTTCCGGGGCCGTTACAGAAGAACTTGAAGACCATCCATTTGTTGTATGTGTAAATTAATTTCTCAATTGCGATCTAACTATGTAAAGACATATTCTCGAGGCACATCTAATTATGTATTAGTTTGAGTTTTATTTGTATTAAATGGATCCCAAGAGATGCTAATGGACCTACTAGTACTAATTTTCATTAAAAAAAGAAATAAACACCGGTGTTAATTAGACTTTTTTGATTCATTGGTAAAAATTCAAATAATCATGTGAAAAGCAAATTGAAAATGTGTTTTAATATTTATTAATCACCTGAAATTGTAAAGATTACAGCATTAATAACTAATTAATCACAACAGTCACATCTTATATTTAAATAATAACAAAAACATGAGGCTGATTGCCTTTAAATGATGTGTCCAAATCAAATATGCAACATTTAATATATACTTGAAAGAGTAAAAAGCATTTGGTAAGGGATAATGGAATATGGGCCATGCAATAGTTTGC